ATGTGCGTCTGTACATGTGTGGTCAGCCCTGGGTACGTGCGCTCGCAAATGAATCGTCCATCCATCTCCCTGATTGGACAGACGCGAGGCAGTGGACGCCGTCGCGATACTAGTGTACAGGTGCGTTAATCACGGGCCGTCACTCCTCGCTCTTGAGCATCCCGGCCTCATCTCAGCCAGCTCCCTCAAGGGCCGGAGGCTGCGTGTGACCCCTTCAGGCAGCGTCAGTCCTGATGGATATTACAGTGGTGTAACTGCCTAAACTCACCTTGGGCTTCTTAGTGTTAAATAGATTGTTTACAAAAAAAGAAAAAAGTAAATAAAAATAACCTGTTCTCCCTCCAGCCGACGAGACACAAATCAAACAACGAGCGAGCTGCAGCTCCCAACAGCAGGATCGCCAAGGGCAGCGCCGCGTCCCCCGGCCACTTCATGACGGAGGAGGGGGAGGGGCGGGCGGGGAGGTGCCCGGTGAGGGTGCAGGAGCTACCCCCGGAGGAGGAGGCCCGCCTGGTGACCCTGGGGTTCAAGGGCTACACAGGGCTGGTGCGCACACAGCCTGGGGGGATGTTGATGAAGGCCAGGTGGGTGTAGGCGCCCGAGGGCTGCCTGGCTGCTCCGTCGCGTCGCCGATCTCTGGCGTGATTGTCAGGGATTGTTGTTGTTGCAATCCTAGATTTGTTGCATTCGACGCGTTTGTCGCTTTCGAAGTATTGAAATTTATATGATCTTTTACGATTGGCCTTATGACTAAAATTATCAATATGTTAATTATAGTTATTTAGCTGTTATTTATAGTCAATAACATTATTAATGGATTTATCAATTAAAATGATCAATACCCCCATCAACATCGATATTATACCTTAAACCACGGTGGGAATAACGTAAACACTATTATCGCTAATATAGATACTCATCTAGGAATAAGTTCATCATTACCATTATCTTTACTATTCTACAGTCTATAAAATCTTCAAAAATATACTGTTGCTCTTATCAGCAAAACTGACGGTGGTTACTGTAATACCATGTTTAATATAAGAAATAGTCAATTATCTCTTGATCAAATGCTTTTTAAATATCATAAATTGAATACAACTTAGTACTCTTCACACTTTCACCCGTCTGATTAGCCCCGTACACCTACAGTACAATAAAAGACGAGCATAGAGAGAAAAAAAAGCTTGCTAACAGAATAACAACAATGGACACCCACCCCTACGTAGGCGACACAGTGACACACCCACTTAGATCTACAACAAGAATGAATGTGGAGCAGTTCTCGCACCGGACGCATTCATTTGGACCAGCGAGGGAACAATGCGCCAAAACATAAAGAATCTAGTGCCTTGCATGTAACGTGCCAGCTGTTCTTTCTATGAATAATAATGAGAGGCTGAATGGGGCGCGAGAGGAGCGAGATCCATCAACGAAGAGGCCCATAATGGGAGACTCAGAATACAGTGCAAACGTCACTCTTCCTTACTGAAATGAAGAATGAATCGACCGCCAGGCAAGTATCCACTCCAGGACCATTCACGAGCCTCGGTTACAACTCTATAAAAAGCAATTCCTGGCACATAGTAAAGGCGAGACAACTCAACCGTGTCAAATATGTGTTTAGAGGCCACGGAGTACAAATGAGAAACAAAAGACGAACGACAGTTTAAGTTTTGTTGAGTGTGTGTGTGTTTGTGTGTGTGTGTGTGTGTGTGTGTTTGTGTGTGTGTGTGTGTGTGTGTGTGTGTGCGTGCGTGTCTGTGTGTGTGCGTGCGTGTCTCTGTGGGTGTGTATGTATGTGTGTATGTGTATGTGTATGTATGTGTGTGCGCGCGCGTGTGTGTGTGTGCGTGCGTGTCTCTGTGGGTGTGTATGTATGTGTGTGTGTGTATGTGTATGTGTGTATGTGTATGTATGTGTGTGTGCGCGCGTGTGTGTGTGTGTGTGTGTATCTGTGTCTGTGTGTGTGAGTATGTGCGTGCGTTTTAAGGCAAAGAATCCGAGCAAGAAGCAGACCAAATGATTAGTCAAACGAGCTAAAACCTTTGTCAAACACGGCGGTGACAGGCGTCCCAACCCAGTCTTTCATGCATTTAATTATTGCCTTAGATACGAATAGACATTCCTAATGACAACCTTGCCTGACGTCTAATCAACGCAACAACTCTTTTCGATGTAGATAATTATGCAAATCCCCACATTGGTTAAACTGCCACACCAAGTCCATTCACCAGGGTTGTCAATTCAATATATCTCCTTGCCAATCAGGATTAAATGCTTCAGGACCAACCTACAGGATTTTATAGACGTGATCGCTCGAGGGCAGCGAGGTGGCGCTTGAGGGGCTGCCTGCCTGCCAAGTCGCTGTTCGTGAGCCTCGGGTTCTTCAAAGCCATTTCTTGCTCCTATAACCATTAGGATGATTAGTGTCGTTAACTTTATTATTGTCTTTGTTATCGGCGACGCTGGTTTGTGAAGCTTTTTAGTTCCATCAGGA